AATCCCAATCAAGGTTATTATATAGTTAATGAAAGAAATAACTAAAACTACAATCGAAAAAATAAATAAATAAAATGAGGGCATTTTGAAAATACAAAAACTAATTGACATTACATTACACTATCGAAAAATTCCAAAGCTATTATTACCCTGGAATGGGATAATAAGTACCAGAAGCAAACACAAAGCCACACAAAGACTCTGTCAGACCCTTACATGGTCCTTCTACTACCATACAGTAGATAAATCTTCAAAGGCCCCTATTGCTGAGAGGCAAAGCACAGCCGCACTCTTCGATATAGTGAATATGCACTAACAAACATGTACACACGTAACACGCTAACATAATATGCCAACATATTAACAGAAATTGAAACACGTAAACAGTGAATGAGAAAACAAATGCTCTCACTCTCACACTGCCACACTATCAAAGCCTGCAAACATCAGATGTAATCGCTGGATAAAAGAATGGGACTAATGGCATAAAGTTGGTTGATGACAAATTGTGAGATTGCAGGAGCCATTTTCTGTCTTTGCCACGCAGCTTTTTTCATCTCAGGGTCCTGCTAAAATATTCCTCTACTTCAGGCCTCTGCTCGGTCACGCATTTCCCCCCCTCTTTCCGCTTTCCAAATGCACAGGCAAATTCCCACAATGCCAATGTGGTGGGAAACTGGGTCAGAAAACTCATTGCATGAACACTAACTCATTTTGGAAACACAATGAAAACAAAATATTTGATGAAAGGAGTGAAAAAATATTGTGTTAATGGCAGTGTTGCAGCTGCCATAATGATTATGGCATATTTGTGGCAGCTCGGAAAATATTGCAGCACAAGATAATATGTCTGCAGGTGAAGCGTTCTTAATTTTGCTCCACATTGAGTTTTTTTTTTTTTTTCTTCAATGACTCAACGGCTAGGCTGGGAGGAGATCCTCCATTTAAACTGATGGCTGGACTACACGGTAAGACCATGTGACTCATCGGGCTCTATTTATGTCGAAAACGTATGTGTGGCAAAGTGCAAATACCAGCAGATCCTGGTTTTGGTAAAAGCCCAAGGTGCACTGCCACTTTGGCAGATCCAAATCCACTTCCACAGCGGCGCAGACCTCCTGCTATCAGGTCTGCCGGCCTGCACTCATCTGCAGGATTACCATCACCAAGTCGAAACCGCCTCCAGCACAGACAGTAAGGTAGACCGACGAAAGGTCCGCTCATGAGATAAATATTTTTTCGCACAAATAAGTTTACGTTAATTTGTATTACATACTGTATATTTATTAACATATTTTCCAAGCCTTTTTTGGAAATGATATGCTGTTATTATTATTATTATAATTCCAATTATAGTTTTTTACGAGCTTGATTTTTTTTTTTGTGCTCACCCCAGGCTGTTGATGCCCGACGCGCATTGTGCGATCAGCGTATGCCGAGCACCGTGCCTGGACGTTGCTCATTCATGCGCCACAGGAATTATGCAACTTATGACCATATAGCAAGACATGTCAACATCAAAAGCTAAGCAGAATTGCATTGTTGGAGTCACTGATTAGTGTAAGCTATCACTGTTATCAGAGTACACACAAAAAATAAGATTTTACTCTACTAAAGAATTGGCAGTCACTTTTTTTTTTTTCAATTTTCAAGAATTAGGCATTTCCCAGTCCCAACAACCGTGATGGTAAAAAAAATCTGTTTTCAACCAAGCACCCAAATTTCATAATATAAACGATATTTTTAATCAAGAATGAATAAAGTACTTAAATTATTGTTCAGTTTTTTGTAAGGCAGAATATTTTAAAGCAATAATGATTATATTGAAGCATTAACTACAAATATATGAAGATCTTTTGCCTATTAGTGTATCAACAATTGCAAATATTGCCAGTATTTACCACTGCTGTTAATTTAGGACAGCTGTGAATTTAAATTAGTGCACATACTATACTCATGTAATAATAGTTTCTAATAATAGGTGGCGAATGCAAGCTGCAAATCAGCTTGTAATGATACAAAAAAATAAAAGCTCACAATTTAAACACTCAAATCAGCATAAGTAATAATTTAATGGCAAACGTTTGTCGACATGGATCAGCTAAACTCAGTTTGACATATTACTTTTAGCCGCTCCCTTGTGTGTGTTTGCCAGTCATTAATTGTTTTCAAATTTTAAATCTTTTTATTGGTTGTTTAGGTACACACTTGGCACATTTGGGAGAACATGTTGAATACAATTATGTCAAAAGGGCGGCACGGTGGGCGACTGATTAGCACGTCCGCCTCACACTGCAGAGGTGCAGGGTTCAATTCCAGCTCCGGCCTCCCTTGTGTGGTGTTTGCATGTTCTCCCCGTGCCTGCGTGGATTTTTTCGGGGAACACCAGTTTTCTCCCACATTCCAAAAACATGCATGGCCGGCTGATTGAACACTCAGAATTCTCTCGAGGTGTGAGTGTGGGCGCGGGTGGTTGTTTGTCTCTGTGTGCCCTGTGATTGGCTGGCACCCAGTTCAGGGTGCAACCCACCTACTGCCCGAAGACAACTGGGGTAGGCTCCAACACGCCTCGCAACCCCGAAGAGGAGAAGTGGATTCGAAAATGGATGGATGGATGAAATGTCAAAAGCTATAAGAAGTGGACAATATTATTTCGGAAAAGTCTGGCGAAATTGTGCTGTCAGGGCCGCTGCGCCTCATCCACAGCTTATCATGAAGAAGGTCACAGGAGCCTATACCAGCTGACTTCAGGTGAAAGTCATATTACCCCCTGAACTGGTTACCAAGCAGTCGCAGGGCACATATAGAGACGAACAACCATACATACCTACATTCACACCATCACTGCCCGCATACAAGTCAGGCGTGTGTACCACTACATCATCAGCAACCTCGCTGCGCCTCATTACTTGTATACGTTAGGCAATTGGGCCTGCTGTCTACAGGGCGCCTGTATTTTTGTCAATGAATTATTTTGACTAATACATTCCGTGGTAACCTTTCTAAGTGGCTTTCCAGAGAGGGTCAGTCTGAATTCAATTCTTCCAATAGGCAAAATGTCGAGTGAGCCCATCATTACACTTTCCGCGTAAAACAAAATTGCCTCATAATGTGACAGCTTCTTCCTCTCACCATTCGTGCATAGATGCACCTCACAACACTGAAATGATTTTTTTTTCTTCAGTATTCCTTCTAACTGACAAAGAAATGGGCAAACCAGTATTCCAAGGTAAATGGACTGGTGTCAGTTTAATCCACTGATGTGGTTCACTTTCAGAAAATAAAACCATCATAATTAAAATGCAAATTCAAACATTTGAAGATGTGTCCTTTGTAAACTTTGCCACCTCACTATGCAAATATTGTCACTATTTTGTAATTAATCACATTTACATCAGAATTACAGTAATGATTCCGTGACTTCAATATTATTAGACCCATATATATATGGCACTCACCTTTTCTGCAGTATTAAAGTTAGCACCAAAATACTCACACATACACATCTTAGTTTGAGTCAGCACACATCGCAAAATCTTTTGGGACTGAAAGTGTTTTATTTCCACAAAACAAAGAGTAATGGATGCTAAACTGTATGGCGCCATCTACTGGGACTCATTATCGCATATGATTGATTTGTGGATAAAGTCATGGTGAGGCCTTCCAGCAGCACAGGCAGCCAATTTGGTGTGGAACAAATGACATCTTCAGTTTCGACCGTATTTACGTTTCATACCATCTTCATTGAAATCGTGCTGCATTTGAAGTGTCTCATTTTACACTTTGTATTTACACTTGAATGAAATACAATGATAACACACACACACACGCACGCACACACACGCACGCACACACACACACACACACACACACACACACACAATAAATCAGCACAAGGGTCATGATATTATGGTGCAATTTCTAATAGTTTCCTTTTTTGTAGAAAAAAAACAAACGTAATTTGGTGGAACAGTTTGTGGCAGATGGAATTTAAAATGATGATGCATATTCAAACCAATAGATATGATAGTGTTGTAGAAATTAAAGAAAATTAATTTGAAACAATGAAATGAAAAACAATAATAACTTGTGAAAAATACAAACCACAAATGGACACGATCTACAAATACAAACCAAATGAATAAACTCATAAAAATCGGTTTCTACAGTTCCAAATGACATGCGGTGCATCAACACACACAATGTGTACACAGTACAACCACAGAATGCGTTCTTAAAGCTGTCAAAAATCTCTGTCAAGTAGAAAATATCAACTTGAATACAAATAAATGCATATTTAATAAGATTCAACACCAAATGTTCCAAGATATATTTAACCCTTTCAGGGACAGAGGTTACTACAGTGGACAGCGCATCATGTTATCAGGTTACAGTTTACAATTTTTGGTGCATGAAAGAGTTAAAAACAAACAAGCAAACATTTTTTTTTTTGAAAATCATTTCTAAATAATTTGGGCACTGGAGAACATAAATTCACAAACTGTCTATCCACAACCGGACCAGTTTTGATAATTCCACCTTTCCTTTCATTTGCCTCATCATACCATCTGAAACTGTATATGTTGAACATTGATTATTTGAGAAAATTACAGACTGCAAATTAAAATCGACCCATTATGCACCATAAACATTTTAAATACGCCGTTGCATTTTTTTTTTTTTTTTTTTTGCGAGAATCAAGGATGAGGAGGATGCTGAGAACCTTTCTAGGAAATAGCATTTCACCAAACTCCACTTGCAAAGCAGAGGAGGTGAAGACTTTGTCTCGACATAGTTATTCCCGTCACAGAATAAAATGACACTTCTCAGAGTGGATTACAATGCCGAGCATCGCTCAATATTACACTTCTAAATTTTTGTTTCTGTTATTTTGCTCACTGAAACTCATGCACACAGTTTATCGATTCCATGCTACTTTTTCATGTCCAACAGCACGCGCACACACACACACACACACACACACACACACACACACTCACCTGCTGTAAATACATAAAGGTGAGGGCGGCGCAGGACAACTGAGGACAGGCATCCACGTTGGGTAATGCCACACATGTTCCTCCTGGATGCTGCATGTTCCCTCCTCAAGATGAACACAACACAACCCCCTCAACCCCAACAAGACAAAAACCCTGAGCTCAGCAGCAAGGGAAAAGAAGTGTGAAGAATGAGCAAAGAAACAAGAGAAAAAAAACATAGATGAGTTCTAGGGAGTGATCGGAAAGATGGAGCTTCAAGGGAAACAGCAGCCAGTCCCATACGGTGGAGTACCAAGTGCTTTCTGCTCACAGGAAGGCAGGACGAGTGATGGCAGAGAGAGAGAGAGAGAGAGAGAGAGAGAGAGAGAGAGAGAGAGAGAGAGAGAGAGAGAGAGAGCACACTGTACTGCAGTGTGACTGTGTGAGATGCTTAATGTGAGTCTGACTCAGTGTGTGCGTGTGCGTGTGTGTGCGCGCGTGCAGTGTGTGAGCGAAACAGAGAGTGAGCGAGTGCATGTTTGCAAGCCAGCAGTCAATGTGACTGCGATTGCTGAAGCGTGAGGGAAGCACAAAAATGTGTGCGTGCGTGCGTGTGTGTGTGTGTGTGTGTGTGTGTGTGTGTTTATGAATGCACAGTATGTGTCAGAAAATTCAGATGTGTGCATTTATTGCTGCAAAAAAAAAATGATGATTTTTCTCTCATTCTCTTGATGAATTGAAGTTCCGTGACATGTTACTGGAGGCGATCAAAGCTGAATGCTGACTTTAGCCCTGACACAAGCCCCAATTTCTCGCTCGCACACTCGTTTGCTGGCAAAACGTTTTTTTTTTCCAGCTTTCAGTCTGCACAATACAGTTGTTAAATGAATGAAGAAATTCTCTGTCTTCAATTGTTTCTCATGCAATGGTTATCAGTTTCCCATTGTAAATAATGAAGATTGGGTTTGGGAGAGAATGACTTTGATCAAAAGGTAATTTAATTCGACTCAATGTTGAAGGTTTTCCACTTTGGTGTCAGTCTTTATAATAAACGTCATGATATGCCACAATGTCATCCATTTACATTCAAGTGATTGTGATGTAGAAAAACATCTGGTTGTATTTTATGGACATTCAACTTCATTTTCCTCACTGGCGAGGGACATACACTTCCTCAAATGCTTGTTGTAGGCATGTATACAGTAGCATTTCCCCTGAATGAGTAAAGTGTCCATTCTGCTGGGGGCTTTTTTTCCCTTCATTCATCAATATTTAAAAAAAAATGAAATCAGAGTCTCTGTCATCATTTCCTGCCAGTGTTTTGACATCTGACAGTCAATAGTTTGAGCTTTTGTGCCGAATTGTGCCCCGCGCTGATTCACGCCCTCGCGTTGCTCCTCCACTGTCCTTCGCTTACTGTAGCTCTGACATGCGCTGCTGAGCGGAGCGAGCGCAAGGCCAAACTGCTACAACTACACAGATAAGTTGGAGTGTTCGTGTAATCGGTCACATTTTTAAAAAAGCAAATACATGATTGAGCAAACATCATAGTCAAGTTGAAAAGCTTCGGTCGCAAAAGTGGCCCATTTTCCTAAAAAGTGTTCAGTAAACACACCGATTAAAATAGCAGGAGGGGGATTTCACCTACTAAAACTACTCCTCAAACAAAAAAAGCACGAATGGTAGCATAATGCAAAGTCGATAATTTCAAAGCCTTATCCCACTGTTTGCTGACATTATGTTGTCATATTTAACGATGAGAGCGTCGGAGATATATGGACAGCTGGTGGAGACAGAATTGAAAAATACATTTACAAACAAGACAATTTTAATCGTTTGATTACACAAATCTTAATTCATCTCATAAATATGGAAATATAGGGTCCTGGCGTCCTAAAGTTTTTTTTTTTCAGTAAGTGATAATAACATTTTCATTCAAGAGTTCCTTGATAGTATTGAGATTTCACACACCAACACTACAGTCCATGATCAAGGCCTTGGGAAGGAAGGGGCTTTGAAAGAGATCGGATGGTGGTCAGGCTTTCATTCAGCCTGGAAGCGCTGTGTGAAGGCCTGACCACTGTCCTGACCTCTGCCCTGTAAAAAAAAATATACTGCCTATCTCAATTTTTGTCATTTAAATTTTTTTTACATGAATGGGTTGCCTACGTTTCCAACATCAGTGGCCCAGCCACTGGTGAATGACAAACCAGCAAACTGAATTGACACGCCCACCTCTGACGTACACTTGTCGAACGCACACATGCAAATACAATGACGCTATATGCTGCAAAACTCGCCAATGCCTTATGAATATCCAATTTGTTTAGTCTATTCTAAAAAAAAGAAAGTATAAAGATGATGAGTGGACCAAGAAAGCCAAGAACTTCCAACATGTGGGCGGAGGATTTTTTTTTTTCCCACAATGTCATTGTTGAAGTGCGTTTGCCTCAACTGCCAGTGGACTTTTGATACACTGAAGACAGAAAATGTGGAAGGGCATTTTCGGGCCATTGATAAAAACAATAAGACCAGCAAAATCATTCTCCACCATGAGTGATGATCTTCTTCAAGTGGGCCTGTGGCTCGCTATCAGCAACTAAGGTCCAGAATGTGTATCCTTGGCTGATTCCATTCAGTACAAGTCATAAGCATCACGTAAGGACACTGACGTATTCAGGGGCTAAGATGTTTGATGGATGGATGGGTTGGATGGGTTCATACAATTATGCAAGCAACATATATTTGTTGTGTTCCTTTTACTTTATTTGCAAAGAGCACACTGCCATAAAGGAGCCATCCATCCATTTCCATCCATCCATTTTCTGATCCGCTTTATCTTCACAAGGGTTACAGGGGGTGCTGGATGCTATCCCAGCCATCTTCGGGCAGTAGGCGGGGGACACCCTGAACTGGTTGCCAGTCAATCGCAGGGCACATCCAACAACCAGCCACGCTCACACTCACACCTAGAGTGTTCAATCAGCCTGCCATGCATGCATTTGGAATGTGGGAGGAAACCACAGTACCCGGAGAAAACCCATCAGGCATGGGAAGAACATGCAAACTCCACACAGGAAGACCCAGGATCGAACCCACGACCTCTGCACTTTAAGGTCGACGCACGAACCAGTCGACCACCGGGCCACCACTGCCATAAATTAACATCAAATAATGTGTCCATACTTTTTGTTTTTCTATTCTTCCTATTATTCTCTGTGCCCCCAGATATTTCTCTCAGTAGTGCCTCTAGTGGTACACCACAATTTTGTACATATAACGAATTCTCAGTATGTTTCTAAACAAATGGTTTTGTGGAGATCATTTTGATGTGATCATTTTAAAAATAGCTCGCATGCCGAAAAATAGTGAGCACTCCTGCTTTACGATGTTTTGTTCCCGCTCATTTGTATGCCTGACAGTGAGTCCTCTGTTTACAATATACAATGTGCTGTAATACTATGTAATTACATTTGATACACACTTGGCCATCCGAATACCAGTATTTTTCACTACACTCCACGGAAACGTAATACGTAAGAGTAACATAAACATAAAAAATTGTTGATTCTAAATTCTGATTGGCTATAACTTTAAAAAGTCCCCACCCACATTGGCTGATGAATAAGACTGGCTAATTGTCCAAGATGACACAATGTCCATGATTGCCCAAAACAATTTTAAATATGAACTCATCAGACCACAGTACATGTTTCCACTTTCCATCAGTCCATTTCATACGAGCTTCGGCCAAGAGAAGCGAGTGGCATTTATGGGTGTTGACATATGGCTTTTGCTTTGAATAATAACTTTTATTTGTATTGCATTGTATATATAATGCATATTTTTGGTAGCAAAAAGCAATGTACACTGACAATGATTTTTATCCATGACGCAATGATGCAAGATTTTATACAGGGTCGCATGAAGGGCTGAAGGTCACGGGCCTTGAGTGTTCGTTTGGGCCTCGCTACTTCTGTGCAGAGATTTCTCCAGATTTTGTGATGATATTCCCTTTTGATGATAATATGAAGAGAAAATGATGAAATCCTTGTATTCCTTGTGTACATTGAGAAACATTGTTCTTAAACTGTTGGACTATTCACTCATCCCTTTCTTGTAAACAAGAGTCTTTCAGGATGCCCCATTTAGATCAAACTGTGTCACTCACCTATTTTGAATTCAAAGGCACTTCTCAACTTTTCCATACTTTTTTGAAATTTGTTGCAGGTATCAAATTCAATATGAGAGAATATTTGCAAAAAATAAAATAATAATAATAATAATAATAATATGTGACTTAATTTAAAATGAATATTTCTTATCCACCCAGTCTGTTAATCTTTGCAGCTTTAGTGCACGGGAATAACAATACAACTCATTTTCTATTGCTGTGAGTGCCTCCTTGCTCATATCCAGTCAAATCTACCTTTCTTTTCCAAAGGCTTCAATCTTCTGCCAGATGTTGTTATACTTAAGTCCTGCATAAGCACAACAGAAAATTATATGCAGTAGTTGGCATACTTTTTCGTACCAGCTAAGCATGAGTTTGGCAGATCATTTTGTACATCGCTGAACTCATGTACATCAAAACATGTTGGTGGCATTCTTTCAATGTACATCATCCATCCATTTTCTGGAAGGCTTATCCTGTTCAGGGTTGCAAGGAGCTGGAACCTATCACGGATGACTTTGGGGTCAAAGACAGACCACATTTTTCATCATATTTTCTTGTGTTTTATGAGAAAATCTTTGTTGTGTTGTGATTTGTCTAAAAGCAGGGCATGGGAGGGGGGTTTGAAGATGTCTTTCTTATGGTTCTAAATGGTGAAATGCAAAGTGCATGTGCATGTGTGCGAGTGCCTGTTGGAGTGATGTAAAGGCAAATGTGCCATATTACGAGATGAACCAAAACACTGCAAGTGCATAACTGCAGGCCAGTAGCTACCTTTCATCTACTCATTCAACTGACGACAAGATCTCTTTTTTTTTTCTTCTCTTTGCTTCTCCTCTTCCACCTCCACCCTTTGGGCACATCTTTATTTTGCACCCACACAGACACATAAAGCATTAACCAAGCATGTAAAGCCATTGGCAGCTTTCTTATCCACATAAACACATTCTCTTTCAGTCAATGATGTCATTTTACAATAAAGTAAACTTGCCTTAAGTTAAAAAAAAAGTAAGGCACTACCTGAAAATGTATTCTCTATATTTCATTGCGACTATAAATATCTTTCACATAAAATATATGAAAAAAGAAATAAACAAGGTGATGCTGACTAGCAGTGCATTTGCTCATCCTGTTAAATCAATCTACTTTGTGAAACTCCTCAAAAACCAACAAGCAGCAGATGCATTTAAGTGCAGCTACCATCATCGCGATTTAAGCCAAACGCGAGCCCCTATTATTTCATTACAAAGTCATTCCTCAAACACGTCTGCAAGCGTTGTT